ATGGGGTGCATCTGGGAAAGAGACACCCAGTGGAGCCAAACAACCCTCAGAACGAATCCACAAGATGTAGCCTCCCCTTGGGTGATGCAGCAGCCCCATACCCCTTCCCCACATCCTTTCCAGCCTCTTGCCACCCTTGGAGGGGGTCTCGGGTATTGCCAAGAGTACTGGAGAGCTCCCTCCCAACACCTCATCTCCAGAGGCTCCTCTTTCATCCTGCCTTCCTTGTCCCCCAAGGGCTTCAGCATGACAGGCATCACACGCAGCAGATTTGGGGAGCACTTCAGCACTTCCCCTTCCCGTCCGCCTCATTGTGCACGTAGAAAAGCTGAGGTCTGGACTAGGAGAGTCAGCAGAGCGGCTGGGGACCGGCTCTCCTGGGCTCCCACCCCACCACGCATATACTGACACCCCGTGTTTTCACGTAGGGAGGGAGTCTCACATTTGATCCTCACATCTACCCAGAGCAAGACGAGTTCTAAGAAGAAGACTGGGCTGTCCTGCTCTAGTTCCTTCGATCGCTAAAAATGCAGACTCTCATGTCAGCACCTGTGCCTCCAAAGGAGTGAAAGGCAGGTCCATGTCTTGCCTAAGGTCATGTAGCAGAGCAGGCACAGTCAAAAGGGTCTCCTGTCTGAGGTTCCTCGTGTTCTTCAGCATTAAGGCCGGCAAAGGCATTGGCCTTGATTCCCTTTCTGTGCTCACGTCAGACATGACTAATTGATCACAGCACCCTTCTTCTCGAAGCCAGGATGCAGCTTCAGAATCCTCAACGCAGGCTTCTCAACATAGCCTTTACCAAGTATGGAGTTGGCAACCAAGGGTGACACCTGTCTACCACTCTTCCCCGATTGTAGGTCTAGTCTGATCTTGTATCTGACCCAGCACCTGGTCTGGTGCCCAGCACATGGCACAGATCACAGTGATAAACATTTGTTGAGTGAGTGAGTGAGTGAGTGAGTGAGAGTGAGTGAACAAATGATGACTGCTGAATGAATGTGTTGCTGTTGTTGTTCAGTTGCTAAGCCTTGTCTGACTCTTTGTGATCTATGGACTGTAACATGCCAGGCTTCCCTGTCCTTCACTATCTCCCTGAGTTTGTTCAAATTCATGTCCATTGAGTTGGTGATGCCATCCAACCATCTCATCCTCTGTCACCCCTTTCTCCTCCTGCTTTCAATCTTTCCCAGCATCGGAATCTTTTCTAGTGAGTCCGCTATTTGAATCAGGTGGCCAAAGTATTGGAGCTTTAGCTTCAGCATCAGTCCTGCCAATGAATTTTCAGTGTTGATTTCTTTTAGGATTAACTGGTTTGATCTCTTCCTGTCCCAGGGACTCTCAAGAGTCTTCTTCAGCACCACAATTTGAAAGCATCAATTCTGCAGCACTCAGCCTTCTTTATGGTCCAATTCTCACATCCGTACTTAACACCTCCCAAAGTCAGTTGCTCTAGAGTAGCTCCCTTCACTGTAACAACATGACCACAACAGCAAAAGTAATGACCCCAAAATCTGAGGTCTCCTGAGCCTTCTAAGGCACTTCAACTAGGGTGAGGGACCACTTGGGAGGTCATTTCCCTGGGGTCACCTATGACCTGGTCTCCCGCTTCTTGGTCCTGCACTCTGCCCCTGAGGAAAGGAAGAAAGGGTGAGTGGAGTGAGTGACGGGTGACTGTCCCCTACACGGGGAGGGAATCAGTGACTCAAGGCGGAAGGACTGACTTTGACACAGGAGCAGGCAGTTGGCCCACGGCCCCTCCCCCTTCCAGTATTTTCATTAGGACTCTTCTGCTGCACCTGGCTCCTTGGCCCCTGCCCCGGGAAGATGCAGACGCCTCTGCTGGCTTTATTAAGGACCTATTAACCCAGCGTCTCTCAGGCCTGGGTTATAGAAGCAGCTCTGGGCAGAGCTAATGATGCTGTCATTGCAGACCTCGGTGGAAAGCCCCAGAGGAGTTCCAGTGGGGAGGGGAGGGAACCTGGGGTTACGCAAGGGCTGCAGAGTTGCACAGGCCTGCCTGGTTTCATCCCAGCTCCTCTGCTAATTGGCTCTGTGGCCTTAGGGCACCTCACTTCCCTTGTGTGGAGTCGCAGCTTCCTCATCTATAAAATGGGGTAATAATGTACCTGTTTGAAAATTCATTGAGCTAACGCCTGACACCACCCAGCAGGCAGCAGAGAACCGGCTATATATAACCAGTAACATCCTGAAGACCCTCTGGGAGCCAGGCAGGGAGGAGCGCTCATAACACACTGACCACCTGGTGAGACAGCCAGTGGCTCTGCGCATCCCGAATTTATGGAAGAAAACCTGAGGATACCGGGGAGGTTAAGTGCTTGGCCAAAGCTTCACTGCCAGGAAGGGACAAGGCCAGGATTCAAATGTAGGCAGTGGACGCTACAGCCCGGGCCATTTCCTGCCTGGAGAGGGAACAAAGCCTAGGGCGTGTGGGCGGGGCTGGGGGGCTGCCTCTCCCACCAGGGCCTTAAAATGACAGCCCAGCAGAGGGGAGGGGGCGCTGGGACAATAACGGAGATTTATGGCTTCCAACTCGATTAACCGCAGCATCTGGATGCCACACGCGACACCTGAAAGTATGGGGGACCCCAACCCTCGGCGATAAATAGCAGGGAGGAACAAACACGGTGGGAGAACTGGGGTGAGCTGCCAGGTTGACCGCAGGGCCTGGTGGGGCCCACCTGGCTCTCCTCAAGCAGATGCACCCCTGAGGGTGTCTCCAACAGAGAGTGCTCAGTCTCTGCCGGTCTCAGGAGGGCCCAGAGTGTCGACTCAGAGGGAGAGCTGTGGTCTGAGCCACAAAAAAGGTCAGAGGATGAGCAGGAAGGTGGGGAGAACAGTAGTAATAGAAACAACCCAATGCTTGCTCTGTGTTCATGACCACCCACCATGTGACCAACTTTGCGATACCAGCCACCTTCTAGCTGTGTAATCCCCAGCCAGTGACTTCATCCAAGGCTGTCCTCTCACCTGTGACAATGGGATCATCCTGGTACTTACCTCTCAGGGTTATCTGAAGGCTAAAATAGGTAAGGAAATGCACAGACTGTGCAGGAGTGCCTGGCAAAGAGTTAAGTTCCTCATCAGTGGTTTTAAGTATTATCCCCATTGGCCAGATGGGAAGATTGAGGCCTCAAGAAGGTAAACGACTTGCCTCAGATTGTACAGTGGGCTGGTGGCAGAACCTGTGCCAAAGCGGGACCTCAGGGCCCAAGGCGGCAATCCTGAGTCACACCACGGAGAGTGGTAAACCTCTTCCAGCTCCAGTAAGAGCTGCCATGTTCTGGGCACCTACTCTGTGCCTGGCACTGTGCTAAGAGCTTTTGTGCGTAACTTAATAGAACCATCACAACTTTCGAAATAGGCATTGCATTGTTCTTATTATCCAGACGTACAAGCTCTGGGGAGGCCAAGGGGGTTGACCACCAGGACTGATTCTGAAGTCCTGGTTCTCAGCACAGGCTACTGCCCTCTGGACGGAGGTGGTCTTTATTTTATCTTTATTTTACCAACTGCTCCCAGCTCCCTTCTGTGTCTTTCTTTCCTCCTCCAACAAGAGGAGGGATAAATACGATGCTAAATAGGCCACAGTGGACCCGAAGTCTTCTGATCAATCCCTTCAGGGCTGGGGCCCCTCTCTCGCGCCTCAAAAGAGGGAGAGAGAAGGCGAGAAGAAAACTCACCCAAGCCCCTCCTACTTGCCTTTGCTCTCCCCAGGCTGAGTGGCCAGAAACCCCAGCCTACACAAGGTCACACTGGGGAACCAGGCTGGATGGAGGGGACGGGGGAGGGGATTTGAAGCAGCAGTCCCCTTTCTGCGCACACACGCTCCCTACATTCCCATCTGGTCAGCCTGGATGCTGAAAATCTAAGTCTGCCCCATACAAAAAACAAAAGCGTCTCTTTTCCATTATAGAAAACCCTAGAGACCTGGGCTGCTCTGCTTGCCTTCTCTCTTGGCCAGTGTGGCCGGGGCAGGGGCTGGGTGAAATGACAGTTGTCCTGGCCAGTGACGAGAGGTCTCAGCCCTTGGCCTGGGTCCCCACTGGAGCCATACCTTGGGGAGCAGCCCAGACAGCCTGGAGCCCACCGACACCGCCCTGCCTGCCAGAAGCAGTGCCAGATGAGGAGGCTCCAGGCTCCTGGCTTCCACCCCAGCACATGGGCCCCCTAACCTGTCCTGAGATCTCCTGGCCTGTCCATCCGAGGTGACCCTTTCTCCTTCCCCACAGAAGCCCAGACCTCTGACCCTTATTAAAAACAAACAAAATCCAAAGAGAGAAAAAAAATCCTGCACGAACAGTCTGGGATGTGTCCCCTCCCTCCCTCCAAAACACACACACACACACACACACACGCACACGCACAGCCTCAGACGTGCAAGGTTGCAGCCAGGCCTCCACATAAACAAGTTGTTGCAGAGTTGCTTTTGTTTATGAAACATTTAGGTTTCCCTCAACTTTATGGGGCGGGGTGGGGGGGGGATGGTGGACTGTTTCAGTTTTTTGGTGAACAGGGAGTGGAGAGGGAGCCTGGGGTTTGATAGATTTCACTTCTCCCTCTGTGTTCTCTGCCGGTTAGAATCTGGGAAGGTGATACGAGAGGAAAGGGACCAGGCAACTCAAGAGGTGTGTGTGGGGACGGGGGAACCCCTGGGCATCACCCGAAAGAAGTCACCCCCGCCCCCCGCACCCCATGGGAAGGTCAGGCTGAGACAGGGCTTCAGGCAGCCAGGTCAGCCCCAGGGCCTCGTTAGACCGTCCCAGGCCAGGCCTCCGGGAGGGCAGAGCGGGTGTTCAGCGTCCCCTCGGCGTCCCGGACGCAACCCAGCGCCTGGCGCTCAGAAAACATATGGGACCGCGCGGGCTGACGTGTCCCTGCCCCCCACCCCCACCAGGCACCCCGCCTTCGACGCCTGGATACCAGCGAATCCGCCAGAAACAAAGGCGGGGCTGCTTTTACAAACGCAAACAACAAACAGTTTAGCTTTTTCGTCTTTTTTTTTTTTCCTTCCCATCCAAGCGGGCAGCTAGGCAGGTTTGGGGGTCCGGGTGGGGCCTGAGCTGCAGCGTTTGACCCCCTCCTCGGCGCCCCCCCCACCCCGCGTCCGTCGCGCGGGGCTGGCCCCGGGCGCATGCGCGGGCCGGGGCGCCGGAGGCCGCGGCCGCCCGCACAGCCTCGCGCGAGCCGGTCTCCGTGGCAACGGGCTCGCAGGGGGGAGGGGGCCGGGCGCGCGGGCCGCGGCGGCAGCTATTTCTGCTGCTTCCTGTTCCTCCCGGCCACGTCGCCATAGCAACGGTGTTACTCACCGAGGCCGCTTCCCGGCTCTGCCGGCGCGCGTGACCCCGGCCGCCCGCGCCCCCTCGTCTCTCACTTGCTGTACTCGGGCTCTCTCCCCCCACGCACCCCGGCGTCGTCCTCCTCCGGCACCGAGTCCCCCGGTACCCCCTCCTTCCCGCCCTGCCGGTGCCCGCGGCCGCCCGGGAGCGAGCGAGCGAGGGAGGGAGAGATTGATGGGGGACGCTTATTAAAAAACATTGTAACCGTTTCCGTTTTTATTACGTTGACAAGGAAGCGTTATTTACTGTTATTGTTTGCCGAGCGGGCCGCGCCAGAACGCGGGCGGCCCTCCCGGGAGCTCACCTTTCGGGCGTTCCCGGGGTTAGTCGAGGGTGGAAGCTGGGGGTGGGCTGGGCAAGGACCACCGGGGCGGAGAAGGGGGCGCGCTCCCCACCCCCGGGCAGCCCCCCCCCCACGGCCCGTGGGGTTCGCTCCTCGCCCCATCTCCACGCAGGCCCGGCCGACCCCACTTCGCCGGGCCTGTTTGCGCGGGGGAGAGAGCGCAGAGGCCGGGTGACTCGTGTTGAAGGAGAAGGCAACAAAAAATAAAAAAAACAAGGAACAGATGACTTCATTCTCCTCGGGAAGGCTCTGTCCTACGTGGACAATTTCCTGGGGACTGTGGTGGAACAGCCCCGCTGCCGCTAGAAGCACACGAAACTAAACCGGATAAAGACCAGAAAATTCTCGGTCTTGCCTGAAACCCAGCCAGGGGAGGCTGGTGGCGCATGAACCGCGGGGAGGGTCGAATTCCTCCACTCGCGCTTGGGGCTTGGCTTCCAACAAACCACCCCACTTAAAACTCCTGTACCCTGAGACAGTGAGCAAGTGGCCCAAGGTCACACAGCCAGGTTTCATTCTGCCCAGACATCTGCAGGGACAAACCCAGCAGAGACCGGGGAGCAGAGCCAGTGTTTGGACCCGGGGCCTGGGAAGAGGGGTGAGGCTCAGCTTGAGCCCGGGCGAGGGGAGATTAACTCGGCAGGTATAAACTCTAGTTCCTCCAACTCCAGGCTTACCCCCACCGGGAGCCCTCAACTGGGGAGGGGGGGCGGTGCCCGTTGGGGATCGGATGGACCTGAAAGATGCCCCACCCCCCAGGCCCTGCTGAGATGTTAATCTCACCTGCTAATGAAAGTTTGCAATTCTGTCCCTAACTTAACTCCCCACTCTTGAACAGTATTAGCTGAAATGCAAACAGTCGTGCTCTGTACAGAGAAGCAGAGGAAAAAGCCAGAGGAAAAGAGCCTGAGTTCACAATGTTTATACTTATAAACAAACGACTCCCAATGAGCAGGCCAGGTTTTGGAAGGGACGTTCAGAGACTCCCCTCAGCCTGTTCTGTGTTTTTCCCCCCTTCAAAGGGTAGGAGGCTTGGGATTGGGTCGCTGTGGCCTCTCCCAATCTCTTGGCCTTAGATGATCAACAAGGACCTTTCCAGCCCCTGGATGGTTTCTGGAGTCTACTGTGAGGGCCAGCTCCTGGCTAAGACCTGTAGGTCTGTTGCTCTGTTTCCAACAACCATGCTGAGCTGTCAGCTTCGGAATCCCTCCCTGAATGTATGGATCAAAAGGCTTGGGCTCCAAGAGAAGAGAGTACCCCCACTCCCTAGTCCTTCCACAACAGGGTGCTGCCAGCCTAGTGGTACGGGAAGAGAAAGGGTAAGTAGGGAAGCCAGCACCACCCTTCGTGTCCCTGTCACCAGTACTTGCTATCCGTTTTGCCAGCCTTCCAAGCAAACCCATCTATGGCAGTAGGTAGCAGATTTAGAGAGTTGAGCTGTGGGGAGCGTTTGAATAGAAGCAAGTTGACAGATGACACCCAGCATCACAGAACTTCAGAGCTGGGAGGATCTTGGAGATTATCCAAACCAACCACTTTCTGATTTTACCAATGGGCACACTGAGGCCCAGAGTGGGGAAGAGACCTGGCTGCCATCTGCCGCTGTCTAGTGGCAGAACCTAGATCAGAACCCAGGCACCTTGCCACCCATTCGGGTGGTCATTGCCTGACACTGATTGTTCCATGGAATTATCTGTATGATCAGAAACAGGATGCTGGTGGAGCATGATAACCATGGCAAGGCAGGAGCCACTGAAATCAGACTGCCTGGGTTTTAAGGGAGACCCTGGACGAGCAACTTCTTCTCCCTTATCCTCACTCCTTATTAAATGGGGATAATGACAGTACCTGCCCTAAGTTTGTTTTAAGGAGTAGAGGAGATGGAAAAGCACCTGGACTAAGCCTGGTACACACTAGTACTTAACTGATGTTGGGAAGGATGCTGATAGCAGCGTAACGGTGGCTCCCGCAAAAGATACGTCCACATCCTCGTCCCTGGAACCTGTGGATGTGACGTTATCTGGAGAAAGGGTCCTTTGTAGATGTCAAGGATACTGAGATCCAATCATCCTAGATTACCCAGGTGGGGTCTCCATGTCATCAAAAGTGTCCTTAGAGGGGACAAGGCAGGGACACAGAGGAGGAGAAGCCACGTGCAGGCTGAGGCAGACAGTGGTGGTGACGGTAACAGGCCTCAGCCCTGGACCTCCAGGCTCTGCAGGAGCTCCCTGGGGAGCTGTGGTCAGTCCCCAAGGCTTTCCGGAGCTCAGGAGTCTGTTCTCTGCAGTGAGGAGCTGGGATGGAGTGTCCAGCTGAAAGAGCAGAAAAATGATAAGGATGATCCCAGGACATCACTGCCCAGTGAGGGCCACGGGAAGAGCCAGACACCCTTCTGGAAGCTCTGCCATACCAGCTGCGAGGCCCCAAGCAAACGCTTTAATCTGTTGGCCTCCTGTGGGGCCTGATGTTAGAGAAGATGCTACTTCATTCCTGGGTGCCAAGAACCTGGGACTCCATCACTGCAGAAGAAGGGGCCCTTCTGCTCCAGGCCACGGGGCTGCATTAGGGTGAGGGGCCAGCAGGAAGGAGGGGACAGGAGCGTGCTCTCACTGGCTCCCTGGGTGCCTGTCCCCTGCTTCTTAGGCAGAGAGAGCACGGGCTATTTTTGTACACAGCTAAGCCTGCCCTGGTCTCCTGCCCCTCCCAGCTGCCAGAAACCTCCCTGTAGGAAAGGACCACGCACCACTGACCTGAGAGAGGGGGAATGAGAAGTCCTGGGCAGGGAACAGGCCCCTCTGGAGCCTGACCTGGTCCTCAACACGTGCGGATTAGGGTGGACCATTTTCCAGAACAGCCAGCCCCTCTGTCCTTTCTCCATCCGGCACAATGGAGCCAAGACAAGATGGGGGTGGCCACCTCTCTTTGAATGTGATCTTTCTCCACCAGACCCTGGACCACTCAAGGAAGACGTGTGACAAGCTGAGTAGAATAGCAGAGTCAGCCTGGCCTTGCCTTTCTTCCGGAGCCCGTGGCTCCCGGTAACCATAGCAGCAGGCAGACTGAGCCCCAGCCAAAGAAAGCCCACTGGTCTCTGGCAGAAGACGGCCAGGGTCAGGCCACTGGATTTTCTCTTATTAGGCACACTCGTATTAACTCCTCCCTCAACTTCTCTCTCTGGCTTTTTGCAGGGCAAAAATGATCCTAATAGCACTCATTCATTCACTTGGCCCATCAGGGCAATCAACAAGCACATGCTCTTGCTAGGGACTGTCCTAGAAACGGGAGGCTTTCTGGACAGCAAGACAGAGTTCCCGATCTTGGGAGGCACATATTCTAGGGAAGAAAGAGATAAAGAAACAGGCCAATACCAAGAGCCAGGGAACAAGACAAGTTAGAGAGAAAATAGGGTGAGGAGTTAGGCTAGAGAACAAAAGGGCTGGAGTTTAGAGAGGAAGGTCAGGGCGATGAGGATGGGGACAGTGGACTGAGACCTGGGTGAAGGGAGGCAGTGAGCCCCGCAGAGAGGGGGAATGAGAAGTCCTGGGCAGGGGAACAGCAAGTGCAATGAGGTGGTGTCTCCTGGTGCCCTGAGGGCTGGTGCAGGTCTTATGGGGGCGGGACTCAGATTTTCTCTATGAACGCCTGAAGCCAAAGGGGAGAGCGAGCCAGGGGCTGATCTGTGTTTTTAAAGAATCTCTCTGGTTTCTGAGTGGATCATAGCCTGAAGAAGCCCAAGGAAAGGTGGGAAAAGTCAGAAGCTGATGGGGTCCAGGCGAGAGACGGTGCTGGCCTGGCTGGGGACAGCAGCAGTGGGAGAGATAGACGTGGCTGAACTCAGGCTTTCTTTAAAGGAGAGTCATCAGGATTTGCCAAAGGATCGGATGTGGGTGTGGAAGAAAGAGAAAAGACAAGGATGACTGCCGTGTCACGAACAGTGGGAGGTACCATCCCGAGATGAAGAAGACTACAGGGGGAGTGGAGGTGGGGCAGGGGGAATCAAGGGTTGGCATTTGTACAGGGGATGTCTGCAAAGCTTACCTGATACTCACATACTGTGTGCTTAGCACTATCAGAGCTGTCATTTAATCCACACCACAGAAAGAGACTGAGACCTAGAAGACAAGCCTATGGTTACCAAAGGGGAAAGGCTGGGAGGGATAAATTAGGATGTTGGGATTAAGTATGCATTACTGTCCATAAAATGGGGAAGGGGATCCATGTACGCTTAGAGCTGATTTGCATTGCTATAAGCAGAAAGTAACACAACACTGTAAAGCAAACCTGTGCGAACGGGCTCAGTCACTAAGTCAGGCCTTTAAGACCCTATGGACTGCAGACTGCCAGGCTCCTCTGTCTATAGGATTTCCCTGGCAAGAATACTGGAGTGGGTTGCCATCTCCTCCTGCAGGGGATCTTCCCCACCCGGGGATCAAACCCACGTCTCCTGCATTGGCAGGCAGATTCTTTACCACTGAGCCTATACACCAATCAAAAATAGATAACCAACCAGGACCTACTGTACAGCACAAGGAACTATACTCAATATTTTATAATAACCTAGGAGGGAAATGAATCATTATGCTGTACACCTAAAACTAACAAGACAATGTAAATCAACTGTACTCTAATACATGATAATAAATCCACACAACCACCCTACGAGGTAATCACCCTTGTTATCCCCATTTTACAGATGAGGAAACTGAAATCTAGAGACAAATCTGCCCAAGGATGGCAGATGGTGAGGCTGCAAACCCAGGCAATCTAATTTCAAAGGCCATCCTCTTATTTATCCAATCACTGGCTCATGTGTCCATTCACTCACTGTTGTCTGCACCGCATGCTAGGCCTTGCTCTAAGGTCCGGCAGTGCAGGGATCCTTTCATGCTACACACCGTGCAAGCATTGGGGAAGCAAGCCAGACCCTGGCTCAGGCAGGAGTTGACTTTCTAAGGAGATAGGCAGGTGATGAGCAAAGAGAAGCAACGTGACGAGAGGCTCACAGATTTGTGCTAAGTGCAAAGGAGCAGAGCAGCAGTGTGCTTATTCAAGAGAGTAATCGGGCCACATGCTGCAGAGCGGTTGGGGCTACCCCAGAGGACAGGAGACATCTCAGAAGCAGTCAAGCCAAGAGCAAGAGGAATGGCATTCCCAGCAGAGGGAACAGTAGATGCAAAGGCTCTTGTGGTGGGAGAGCGGGCAGGGGAGGGGGCTAGACCGGCAGCATGTCCAGGGGATTGAGTGCCCACAGAAACCAACTGCAAAGAGGAGGCAAGCTGGGCCAGGGGCTAGTGCAACGGGGAAACAAACCAAAGCCTCATAGACAAGTGGCTCTGGGGCGCCAAGAAGGATATCAACATCGAGGCAGCAGTGACAGATAAACCTGAAACATGCCTGGGGGCTGTGACCCTGGTGGACACCAGAACAGGGCTGGCCCAGGCCCACAAAGCGTGAAGGACACCACCCCCCACCCCCAGGTCTTCCCCCTTCTAATCTGAGCCCAGGGCTGACTCCACAGCTGTGCCCTAAAGCACCAGGCCGTTCCACCCCTCTTGGGGTTAACCGTGGCCTTCACGGGAACCCAGGGCCCAGCAGTGTCCCCTCTGGCACCACTGAGACTGGCCATCTAGAAAGAGCCAGGCTGACCCCTGGCCACCTGATGAGTCATTCATTCACTCACTCGTTCAACATCTATTAGTCACTGCTCCATCACTGGTACTGGGGAAGCAGGGAGTAAGACCAAGACCTTTCCATCACGGAGCTGAAGGTTTAGAAACAAATGGAAAGTCAGGGAGAGGTATAGGTATGAGGCGAGGACAGAGGGTTTCACTGTCAGAGCTGGAACGGTAACTCCAACTTTGGAACTTTGGGACCCAAGGCTTGATGGGTGCTCCCTGAGTTCAGGGGTCCTCTGGCCCACCCCGTCCCCTGCTCACGGTGATGCAAGGAAGAGTGAGCAGGGCTCCTGGGCTCCCGGAATCATTGTTCCCCTCCCCTCTCCTCCCCTCTTGGCCCTCCCTCGAACCTGGGTCCCTCCTTTCTTTGGGCAGCTGCCAATCTGGGGACAAATCCAGTCATACAGGCACAGCAACCTCTCAAAGCCCAGAGGCCTGGATCTGAGCTGGGGAAAGCTGGCCTCAAAGTCTAGGCCAAAGCAGACTCAGCTCTGCCTCCCCAGCACACAAAACGTTGTGGGGGACTCGGCCCCTGAGCCCCAGGCCTAAGATTGAACGCTTCCTGCCAGCTGGAGGGCAGGAAGCAAGCCTTACTCTTCAGAACAACACGCAGCAACATAAAACAGCTTTCGACAGCTACTCCCTTCTTACCCTCTACACTCCCTGAGCCAAGCATCCCCAGGTGAGTTCAGAGAAGCCCATGAGGGCTTGACTATCAATAGCCCCATTTTATGGAGGAGGAAAACTGAGGCTCCATGGATCCGATGACTTTCTCAGGTGGTAGAACCAAGGCTCCAACTCAGGGCTGACACCCAGCCGGTGCTGGCAGAAAGGCCGAGAAATCGGGTGACGGGGCAAGAGTGGCAGCTGCCTTAGCCCCACGTTATAGGTGAAGTCAGTCACTCCCAAAGTTGCACAGCTAGTAAGAGGGAGCAAGGCTTGAACCCAAGACTGTTGGTCTCCAGGACCCAGGCTCTCAGGTACCTAGATGAACAGGGGGGAAGAAGAGGGGATTGGAGGCCTGAGAACTCTGATGGCCTTTGGTGCGGGCCTTCCGAGTCCACATGCGCTGGGCAGAGAGGAGCCTGGAGGACCAGGCACCTCCGAGGCAGGCTTGGTGGTCACCCAGCTACTCTCTCCTTCCCCGTTCCCAACTCTGGGGTCCCAGCCTAGACCCGACCCCTCTGCCCTCGGGGCTGCTGTCAACTCCTGGGTCCCTGCAAAACTTCGGCCGGGTCAGGGATAAGCCTTGCCCCAGAGCCTCAAAAAATGCAGCCGCTAAACCGCTAGAATGCCAGCCCACCCCAGCCTTAGCTTTAGGCTGAGCCAGGAGGAGCCTCCAGGGATGGGGATGTTCTCCTGGGGTCAGTCCTCACCCATCACTGCTGCAGGGGTGCAGAGCAGGAGTGTGTGTGTGTGTGTGTGTGTGTGTGTGGTGGGCAGAGTGTGTGTGTGGTGGGCAGAGTGTGTGTGTGTGTGTGTGTGTGTGTGTGTGTGTGTGGTGGGCAGAGTGTGTGTGTGTGTGTGTGTGGTGGGCAGAGTGTGTGTGTGTGTGTGTGTGGTGGGCAGAGTGTGTGTGTGTGTGTGTGTGTGTGTGTGTGTGGTGGGCTGAAACAGTGGATGGGAGAGGGAGGGAGAGAGAGAGAAAGAGACCCAGACTGAGCAGAGGGCAGGGTGACAGAGACAGCAACGCAAACCCAGAGAGCGGGAGGAAGCTTGGCAGCTGGGGAAGGAGCCGAGAGAGAGGGCGAGAGGACAGAAGGGAGAGAGGGGCACCAGCGAGGGACCAGCCTGGCAGCAGAATCAGCGCAGCCTGAAAGCAGAGCCCTGAAGGGCTGGATGGGGAGCGAGACCAGGAGAAGGAAGGGGTGCGGGGACCAGGAGTGGGTGCGGGAGCTGACCCAGAGTACAGCTGGGGGCCCTGAGCGGGGATGGGAGCTGAGGCTGTGGGTCTGAGACGGGCCAGTGCTCTCTCCGTATGACAGCCTTCATCAGCCCCAGGATGGGGAGAGGCAGGGGCCCAACGCCTGGCCCCCTCAACCCCCGCTCCCCAGCTGCCCTGCGGAGAGGATGGGCATGCCAGGGTTCCAGCTGCTGCTGGGATCCCTCAGGGCCATGGACCCCCTGTCCTCAAGCCCCCAAACCCCTCTTCTCTCTACATCAGCCTGGGCTGTGTGAACTTGGGCAGGGACCGTGCCTCTCTGGGCCTCCAAGCCCCCCTGAAAGATGCTGAGCTTAGGGTGGGGGGGCAGGGTCCAGCAGACCCAGATGGGCCAAGGGTCTGTACCTAGGATGCTTGGCCTCCCTGAGCCCCATAACACCCCTCGAGGGACAGGGATAAAATAGGGTCACAGCCGCCGTGACAAGGAACAGAGAACTGTGTAAAGTGCGACGCACAGAGGGTTGCTTCTCTTACAGGATCATTCACAAAGGTTGAGGCTTTTGAGACCAGTTCCCCCGCCCCTACACCCGCACAGGACTCTGCCCCAGTGGACCAGAGGCAGTGGCATTCCGGGGGGCGCAGGGCTGTCCGGGGGCGTTTGTCCGTCAGCAGCAGGTCCCACTGGGGTCAGGCTCGACCCAAGGGAGTCCTGGAAAGACATCCAGGTGGACCACCCCCCCCCCGCCCGCGCCGCTGACGGTTAGCCTTGGAGAAGGGGTGGGGGGCGAAGCTCGAAGAACCCTCAGGCTCCAGGGTCCCTTCACAACCTCCCGCATCCTGTGGTCCAGGAGGAACCCACCAGGGGCGGAGGGAACAGAGAACCGGGCACAAGGCTGGGGTCGGCGCGCGCACCGGGGACCGGCTCCTTTCCCCAGAAGGCAGGAGGGAGAAGGGTGGGGAGCGGGGAGAAGAAGGGGAGGTGGGAAGAGCAAGGGAGGGGAGAGGGGCCCGGAGAGGGAGGCGGGCAGGAGAGGCGCACGCGGAGAGGGACTGAACCTTGAGAGGAGCAGCCCAAGGAAAGGAGTAAATGAGGAGAGAAGGGAGGGAACAGCCGCGGGGCCGCGGGAGCCCCGCGTGCGGCGGGCAGGCTCCGCTGCGGAGGCTTCCAGAGACAAAGGCCCGGAGGCCCGCGGAGGAGGTGGGGGGAGGAGGGGGAGCTGGGGAAGGGGAGGAGGGAGGAGGGGGGAGGGGAGGGCTTCGCTCGGCCCCGACGCCGCGCCAGGGGGCTCCGAACCGGCCAAGACCCCGCGCCACCCCCCACCTCCATCCAGCTGAGGCTCTGACCCGCGGGAGAGGGAGCGCGCTCCAAACTTAAGAGGGAGAAAAGTCTGCCAGCTGCCCTTGGGGCTGTCACAACAGATAAAACCTCATCCAGGCTTCACCAGGAGCGCCCCTGCACACTAATGCACCGCAGCGAGCTAAAAATACTGGCTGGAGCTGGGAGTTGGGGGGAGCAGGATGGTGGGTGGAGGAAGAGGAAGGAGGGTGGGAGGTTGGAGGAGGATGGAGAGGAGGCTGGGGGGGAGGAGGAAGGGGAAGGGGGGAGGAAGAGGGAGGGGAGGAGCAGGGGCTCAGGCAGCCCCGGTTTTCCGGAGCGTCCTAATGACCCAGATGTGCAGCTGCGGAGATGGCTGCTCGGGGAAACTGCAAATCCCCTGGCCCCTGGCGGCCCCTCCCCTTGGACGGGGCGAGGTGGGGGGAAGAACTGGAGGCAGAAAAGGAGAGAGGCAGGGAGGGAGAGAAGCCTGAGTAAGAGGGGAACATGGGAGATGGGGGTGCTCTGAAGGGCAAGGATGGGGTTGAAGGGGAAAGATGAGGACGGAGGGGAGGATGGGGAGGAAGGAGGGAGGACCAGGGAGTGGAGGATTAGAGGCAAGAGGATGGAGGACCATCCCTGGGGCTCTGAGGAAGAGACCTCCAGCTCTCTGCCCTGCCCCCTGCCCCTGGATATCGAGGAGTCTGGCTAGGGGTGTCTGGGTTGAGCAGCTGGCCTGTGTCTGGTGGCAGCCCAGTCTTTGGTCCCATCACTGGAAGGATGGGTCCAAGATTGGGGTTTGGCTCCTTGGAGAAGACCTGCTAGTCATGGAACCAGGACCCAAGCCCAGCCCCAGCTAAGCTTTGACATCCCACTTAGTTGAACACTCAGAATGTCCTGGGGAGAGAGGGACCCATGCTATCCCTGTTGGTCAGATTCACTCATTCATTCACCACCATCTACTGAGCACCTTTTCTGGGCCGGCCTGTGCCGGGTGCCGGGTGCTGGGGAGAGCAAGACGGGAAAGTGCCTGCCCCACTTGGACAAAGACGTCCTTGGACCCATGATGGTGCAAGGAAGGGAGAGAGAGATCATGGTCAGGGAAGGACGGTCATGAGGGCCTCTCCCAGGGGATGACACGAACCTAAAACCTGAGTGGTGAGAAGCCACCAAATCTCCAAGAGCCCCGCCTCCTTGGTTCCTTACCATCCTGGGGGCCTACGGTCCCCGCGCACTGTGTGACCTGGTGCCTGCGTGTCATCCGTGTGACAGTGGGTGGCTGTGCCAGCATCTGGGGCAGACCCCACCAGCCCATGCAGGGCCCGGTGACCACCTCACCTCTCTGCAAAGCAAGGCCTTTTTTTCTTTCTTTTGCCCATCTTGTTCATTCTGAGTCAGGATGCAGCGGCCATGGCCTTGTGGGGCGGGATGGCCAGATGGGCTGGGACGGTAGGGCAGATTGAGGTCTCGAAAGCCCCAAGCCACTCTCCCTGCCCTTGAACACCAGGTCTGTCCCTTAACCTCCATGCCTCAGTCTCCTAATCTCTAACGTGGGCCTCCGGTGAGGTCTTGATGGGCTGCCTGGTGCGGGGTCCAGAACAGTCAGCATGCCCCAGCTAGAAGCCCTTTCTCCCAGGGAGGCACCACCCCTCCCAGAGCACCCTTCGCTGCAGCCTTGTTTCTCCACAGTTATAATCCAGTCAGAGGCAGCAGCTTGCAGTCCAACTACAGCGGTTACCAGTGGGGACCCTGGGCTGTGATTTAACTGTCTTTGCCTCAGTTTCCCCAGGCTCTACAGGGATGACGGCTGCCTCCTGGAGCTGAGGCAACCGCCAGCTGTCGGCAGCGTACCTGACCCAGGGACTCTCCAGCAGGCCTTGGCCCGTGGCCCCCTTGCTCTCTGCAGCTCTCTTGTTTCCTCTGCGTCTCCCGCCCTGGATGGTGAGTCCCCTGGAGCAGGGCCTGTCTGACCCGTGCCCGGAACACCAGGCGCCTGCTATGAGTCAGCTCTTGCCAAGTGCTGTGGCCAGCTGGGGCTGAGTAAATACGGACTTCTGGAGCTCCTCCCGCTGCTGGGGAATGCCTATCTTAGTTTTTTCTTCAAATTATCTTCACTGACAGGGTACAGGGTTCAAAACCCCACACCAGGATCAAACAGAAGGATGCCCAGCTCCTCCCCGCCCACTCTTCCTGACTGTTGCCCCCTCCTCCACCACCTGGGCCCCAGGATGCCCTTCCTGGGTGTGGTCCCTTCCCCTCAGACCACCCTGGTCCCAGCAGCCTGCAGCTGGGTGCCCTCATGCACAGAGCACAGAGAAGGGGTGTCATCAAAAGAGGGACAGGAAGAAGGAGGAGGAGGGTCAGAGAGACCTGGAAGTGAATCCCAGGAGGTCAGAGATTATATATGGATCCGGCTTTTCCTTGGACTTCCTTATATTTTTATCCTACTGTCTTGCTAACCATTTAATGCAGTTCTAGCTTCTTAGGGTTCTTCCTAACATCTCTGTCCCCTTGGCTACCTGGCCCCCTCTTGTAACTCCCCCTGTGTGTGTGTGCGCGCGCGTGCGTGTGTATGTGTGTGGGGGGTGCGGGGATCTGGGGCTGGGGCTGCAGAGTCCAGGGAGTGGCCTCTGGGGCTTCAGAGGGAAAGCGTTTGCCCCAGAGCTGAGCCTAGCAGGACAAGCGCCCCCAGCACCCGGGGCGCGGCCAGATCTTGCTAAGGCGGCACCAGGCTGTGTGGCTGTTTGAGTTCCCCCTACTTTCCAAACTAGTTGAAATTACACACCAAGCATCGATTTAATTAAGTTTTCCGGTGTGTGGCGTAATTAGTAAGACACACGACTGGAACAGGGTGGGCGGGCCCATCCCTGTTCCTGCCTGTTAGAATTCTCAGCCCTCGGGCCACAAAATATGGCCAGTTGTAAGATGGGAGACGGAGGAGACGTGGGTGGGGGGAGCCAGCCGGAGCTGCCAGGCCACTCTGCGGGCTTCTGTTCCATGTGATGGGAGACAGACAGGTGGCCCTGCCCCACGGGGGATCAGCCTCACACGTGGTGCCAGACACTGAACTCGAGTGAAGTTCATGGAGCCTGTCACCCTCACGGGGACATTGGAACGGGCAGTAGGGAGCTAAAGAGGGGCCTCGCTATCCCCGGAGAATCAGTGCTTTGTCTATAAGGATGTGTTTCCAGGACAGGGTCACCCAGGCCACAGGCCACGGGGCCCGCCCAGCCTCTTGGCTGTGTTCTAACACAGATGGACAGATCCAGAGACACAGAGCCCCATCGAAGGCGGCGGGATGCTCTCCTCCCATTGACCCCTCCCTAACACTTTCATGTCACTCTTACATGTGGGCTGGACCGCGGGAGGGCAGCCTGTGGCCTGGAGGCTGCTTCTGCATTCCTGTTAGGAAGGGCAGGCCACCATGGCAGGTGCCCTCCCCAACAGGAGAGAGCTCCATGCTCCCATCCACCTGGATGAGGCTCAGACTGTCCCCAAATCTAGAAACACCTCTAGGAATCTTCCAGCCCACGTACACCTGGGGGAACTGAGGCAGGAGTGAGGCCAGGTCCTAGATACTGACTGAGTGAAGGAGACACCGAGGCGTAGACCCTCTGTTGAAAAGCACCCCACTGGACCCCACCTTGTCCAGCCTGTCTCTCCCCTGTGTGAACCACAGTTACCTCCTCACCCCTGCTCCCGGCCGCCCTCCTGCCCTGCCCCTGTCTTGATTCCCCCGGGATACATCCCCTCCCCGCCTCCCCTTTTCCTTCCTTCCTTGTCCACCCCAAGGGGCCCTGCGTCAGAACTGATTACCTCCCCCAGTGGACTCGAGCCCCCAAGGGCGGCCCCCGCATTTCTTTACTCCCCACAGTGTCCCCCAAGGCTGAGTTTAATGAAATGATAGTGCAAACATTGATTAAGCACTCACTGTGTGCTTTACATGGATGAGCCCCCAGTTTATTGCTCCTTCCACTGGTCCTACACATCTGCCCTTCCGCCCAGAACACTGCGGCTCAGAGAGATTGCAGAAACTTGTCCGAGGTGACGACAGCTGCTGAATGACTAGCTGGGGGTTTGAGTCTCAGAGCCTGTGGCCGTAGCCCACGAGCCTAACCG